TATAACATTTTTTCTTAAGTAGTTTGTTTTATCAGTTTTATAGTTTTAATTCGTTTGAGTAAAATTATGTTGTTTTCTAAAATACTAAACGTTAGAGAGGAATCATATTAAATGTGATACATTTTTTATTATCTCGAAATATTCCGTCATAATATAAGAACCACATTTTCTAAAAATAATTTTATAAAATCTTATAAAGTCTTTAAAAAGAATATTGATCCTCAATGGAAAATAGGAATTTTCAAAGAATAAATTTACATATTTTTTTATCAAAAATTAGGAACACAGTCTATAAAATGTATTCGACATGGTTACTTCCTTATTTCAAGTGTGTGCAATGAGTATGTGTTGCTGGTCTCTTTATTTCGAGTGCATAGCTTGTCTGCGCTCGGCGGTTGCAACTTGCAATTCAATTCGGCAGTCCTAAGTCACACAGGGCGGGGTGGGGTAATCCTCTTGCAGGCATCCACGTCACCGTCAGCGGCTATGCCAAGATACGCTGGATAAAAAAGGGATATCCGCGCGACAGCGAGCGAGCCATGTGCCGCGCCTACCGATCGTACCTGTCCTCGCGGTCCTACGTCCTCGGGTCCTGCGCGAACAACTCGAGCATCGACTGGCCGGCCGGCGAGTACTCGTACACCTTCCACGTCATTCTGCCCGACAATCTGCCCACGTCCTTCGACGGCAAGTACGGCCAGATTCATTACGAGATCATCACGACCATCGAACGGGCCGCTCGCTACCCGAAGGTCTTCAAGCTGCCATTTACCGTGATACAACCCTTGGACCTGAATGCAGACGCCATTTACAGGGTAGGTAGATCTAAGCAATGGTCTCTTTGCGAGTCCCAAGTAACTTAACTAACAAATCTGTAAGTAATCTTGATAAATGCCCAACAACTTTAAACGTAAACTAATTTCATATTGATTACAAAGAACATCAGGTCTAAAAACAAAACCCATTACTTACAGGTGCCTTTGGAGATTCTCGATCGGAAGCGCTTCTGGAGCTTTTGCTGCCCCACGGGTCCGTTGACGGTGAAGTTCTCGACGCCGTACTGCGGATATGCACCCGGTCAGAAGATCCACTTCGTGCTGTACATCAACAACGAGTCCTCGATCGACATCACCGAGTGCGAGGTCAAGTTGAAGCAGGAGGTGAGCTACGAGTCGCACGATCCGCAGCACGAGTACCGCTACGACAAGCACCTGATCGCCCGGAAGCAGTTCGGAAACGTTTTGCGATGGTCGCGGAAGGTGTACCGAGGGTATCTGGACCTGCCTTCGATACCGCCCACTTCGGTGAAGCCCACGTGCCCCATTAGTGTTAACTATTCGATTAAGATCATCGTGAACCCCACGGAGTTCCATTGGAAGCTGAAGCTGAAGATTCCGCTGACCATCGGCAGCATTCCGATCATGGATGGTCCGGAGGCCCTGCTGCGATTCAATCGCCAGCAGCAACAGCACCAAGTAGCTAGTCAAAATTTACAAATGTCCACGCAACAGCGACTGCACCAAAGGGATCGTATCCGCGACAGGAACGTTGATCTAGATCGAGATAGGGATCGGGATCGGGATCGAGATCGGGAGCGGACAGGTGCCTCAGTTCAGCAGCAACGCATCAGCAGCATCAACAACAACAACAATCATGGACGCTTTGCGGGTGGACTACTGCCGACCAATAGCAATATGAATATGATAGTAAACGCAAGTCCCACGCCCACGAGCTCCACGCCCTCATCAACGCCAACAACTGCCGCCCTCAGGCCCACGGCCATGCCAGCGATATTGGTGACCAGCGATAGCGATAATCCCCCGGACTATATACCCATGAGTAAGCCACCGGAAACTCGTCCCCATTGTCCTTGCAGATGGACTCAAAACTTATGAAAGATTTGTTAACAGTAACTTACATTTTTATACCCTAGCGAAGGGTATTATAATTTCAGACAAAAGTTTGCAACTCAGTGAAGGAGACATTTCCTACCCCATAAAGTATATGTTTTCTTGATCAGCATCATTAGGAGAGTCGATCTAGTCGTGTCCGTCTGTCCCACGGTCCGTCCGCTTCAACGCGAACTCCCAGTTTTAAAGCTATATCCATACACATTTTCCAAAAGTTGTTATAAGCCAAAACGAGCTGGATCGGAAGACTAGAGCATATTATTTAATATTATTAAAATTTATTAAAGTCGTATAACGATTTCATATAGATGCCAAAGGAACGATCAAATAATTGTGCTAAATATTGTTATAGCTTCAATGTTTTAAACATACAGGCATATAAATCATATTTTAAAGAATATTTAATCTTAGCAAAATCTGCAAGGGTATATAAACATTGGCTTGTTTAAGTTTGCTTCCTTCTTGGTTTCTGTTTGAAATACTTTACTTATCAATCACTGTAGTATTTTCAATTTAATTTTACATTATCAGTAATATACATATGTAATTTAAAGAAAGATTTTAAATTCTACTTGAAGTCGTTAAGGTATAAGAAAAAAAACCGCTTCTAAACTTGAAACTTAAATAATTATTCGTGAGGAAGTGTATCTGCAATGGCATTTAAACTTCCATACACAAAACATACCATTAATTCTGGATTTATTTGCAGTGCCACCATCGTATGAAGATGCCATGGCTCTAAGTGAGAAATTCAGCGATGATACTGAGTTCTTGACCAACGTTAGCATGAGCAGCATTTTGTCCGCTCAGGCTGATGTTACCACAAGTGAGCCCTTTAAGCCGCGTTATCCGGTCTATTACGATTATGAGACACCGACCATACCGCCCGGTAGTGATGATTCTAATGAATCCGACACATAAAATCCCCTCCAATACTATCAAAAAATACTATCAAAAAATGTTACCAAAAAAAAGCAAAAATGAACCAATAATTGAATGGCTGAGTGGCTTTTTCTGAAAATTCTTCGTTTATTCCTTTACTTAATAGTAGTTAGAGCATTTTTCTTAGATGTCTTGTATTTTGTTAAAGTGTCGAGATTTAATATGGAATGAGAAAATTGTTTCAGATTGTCCGCTTAGTTGATCCGGAAATGAAAAAAATTAATAATCTTTTGTCACATTTTACATTACGTTGTCCTTATATCGTCCGAATTGTTTAACATCAATATTCCCCTTGTTCTGTGCGTCTCTTCAGCCTATAATCTTCTTCCATTTAAATCTCGTTTCTTACTTTATTAAATTACATTTTATTCGTATTTTATAAAATTGTGAACCAAAATTAATCGCACGTTTAATTATATATACAGGTAATATCAAATTATCCAAGAGTTTTTACTAAATTTAATAGATAAGAACTTTTTGAATGATCAAAATATATCATATATCTTATTCCATTACATTCCATTCTAATTATATTTTCATATACTTTACATCAACTTGCTAAAATATTACTCAGTTATTATTAATATTTAAACCTTAAAAATTATTATAAAATATTTGTATATGTCTGAATCGAATACCTTTATCAAATGGTGATGCTTTGTTAGAGCGTCTTTTAAAGTTTAAGTCGGATACATTAACCAATTACCGTTTAAGAACATTATTCGTACATTTTTAAAGTTCTTTTTAACTTTTTCTACTTTTCTTACTATGAATTTCTCTAATAATAAGATGTAAGCCGCGCAGAGACATATTAAAAATGTGCTTAACTTGTAAATTTGTTCTCTTGTTACCGCCCCAAAACATGCTACATTTTATACCGTCTATTCACGTCCCCAACCACCTTCTTCCTTCGAATCTCGAAATCCCAGAGAGGCTTTACGATGAGTCCAGTGCCCAGCTGCGTCTCACACTCAGCTGCCAGGATTCGGTGCCAGCGGAAGCGGAAGTGGATGAGGAGGTGACCCCGAATGCACCTGTAGGAGAGTTTTTCGCCTGCGAAAAGAAATGAGACGGCCTGGGATCAAATTATTTGCGAAGAGCTGCATCAAATGTTAACATACAAGGCAACTTCAAAAACACTTACATATTTACTGGAAATCAAAATATTATAAAAATCTATAATTCAAAACAAGGCGCTAACGTATAGTGTAGTAGTTCATAAGTCTGAGCCGTAAATGAAAATTGAAGACAGCAGAACAAACACATTAAAAAATAATACAGTACAGAATGGTATATATTTTGCAGAAATATTAAAACTATCTAAACTAACATGGATTTACTTTTAAATTCATTTAATTTTACTCGCAGGTTATTTAATTGTTTTGTCCTGCCTATCTTCTATCAAGCCTATGCTTATTCTAATCTCTGCTCTTTTCTGAGTCTAATTTCATCTTTAATCTTAAACAACCCAAATTATAATTATTTTTATAAAATATTGCAAATTGTAAGCAGATTTAGGGTTGAGCCAAAGTGATCGCTGGCAACATATATACGAACAACGTAGTGAAAAGTTAAACGAAATCCTTTAGCCCTAAGACTAAGATAAACCCCAACAAAATCTGCACAATTTTACCTAAAGGAGACTCATAATTAAAGAAGAAATTAACTTTTATCAATATTGAATATTGTATTTATAAAGTATCTATGAGAAATTTACAAGAAAGATTAGCCAAATTGTATTTCGTTTTTTATTATTTACAACGCTACAACCCACGAAAGTCTTTTTGTAGTTGGATCAAGTCATCACATCAACCTAACCACTAGGTGTCTAACACAGATGTTTTGTAACTAAATATAAAAAGTGTCTTTTGCTCTAGTTTATACACAAGCGTTTGAATTTAGATTGTGAAACCCTCTTACTAAATACTTTGTACTTCCTCTGATTTTAAAGCCAGTCTAATCAGCAAACATATAAGTCTATTCCTAAGTCTTAACTGTCTTCAATTCGATTCAATCCGATTTAATAAAGCTAAACAAACAAAATATAATATCTATATTCCGAAGCTTAAGATGAACTGCTTAAAATGAAGAATGGACTCACATCCTGATAACAGAATAGAAGATAGGTGAACAATCAGTAACAAATCTCAGTCGACTAAGCCTTGCCATAAACTGAATTTATATCTGTATGTCGTCACAGCCAAAACAGACTTCGTTTTAGCAATAAAACAGCAGCTGTTCCACATGAAGTCGACTCGTGTGGAAAAAGTTTTTCAGACTTTCATCAGCTTCGGACAACTTCAAGTTGTCGCATTCACTGGTTCGCCGTCCGTCGACGAGGTCGCAACTGGAGTCTCGGTCGCGTGATTGCGAATTATTGAGAACCACACTAATATAAAAGCAGTGAAAATGCCAATAAATTGTGCATTTTATTTATCGCGTGGCGCTGAAATCTATTACACTGGCGAGCAAATTTCGGGTTCACTCACTGTGACAGTTGACGGCAAAAAACATTTTCAATTAGACGGTAAGTCGGAGAAGCAATTAGGCAAATGATTTGGTCTAGTGATTAGATAGAGACTTGTACAAATAGCTGGCATTCTGATCTTACTGTTGTTTTCCCTTGACAGCCGTAAGTATAACTCTCCACGGAGTCTCATCGGTTCACTGGCGGGAATCACTACATGGTCCTCCGGAAATCGAACATAATGACAGTACCGGAATCTTGGAGAATGCCAAAGTGGACTACAAGGGCACCAAGGTTCACATTAGTCAAACAAAGAAGTTGACTAGTGGACTACGCCTACAACCTGGCATTTTTCAATTGGGTGACTTTAAGTTCCAGCTCCCTGAAAACTTGCCAGCTACTTGCAGTCTTCCCTTTGGCAAAGTGGAGTATATGCTAAAGGCTGTTTTTGAAAGGAGGGGAAAACATAACAAATGCTTTCAGCAGCGACTGGTGATAAGAAATAGTCTGGAGTTTAATGATCTTAAGCCCCAAATTGCGGAGACCTCCAATATAAGTCTTTCACTGTCACGAAGTGTGTTTGTTCCCGGTCAAAATGTAAGCTATGAAACAAATTCCAAGGATGGATCTTCCAAACTCTTAACCCGATTGTGTAAAAAAATCAGTTACACATGTCAGAAACCCAGTGCAAAGACCAAAACCGTTGTACAAGTTTTATCTGAGTCTTTAGACCTGATAAATCAGCTTCGCCTGCCCCTGACAGCCCCCATTATGAGCCATCCAGATCTGTTGGAGCCTATACAAATCAGCTATTATATTGAGACACTTAACTACTTGGACCCTCCCCTAAGACTGCCTATATTTGTGGTTACTGCAGCACCACTCATGTACTCCCCCATGGAATCTTCGCGACTTTGCTTTGTTAATATGGGTAAGCCAATTTTCTCCACCTAATTCACCCATTCAACATGATTAAATATTGGTTTTCTTCCAGCCCTGAGTCAAAGCGATCTAATGAAGCCAATTAATCAGGATCTGACCCACAACTGTTCCCTGGAAATTGGCTCATTGGCGCTGACCAAACATTGTGAACGTATCAAGTTGCTAAAAGGCCCGAGGAGAAAAAAGTCGTACGTGCAATTAGCATTACGATACTTTTATAAGAAAGTTGGACCCTGACACGTGCCGAGATTGGAATTTCAGTGTCAAGCTATTGATACTTTTATAGTTCGATGGAAATAAACATGAAAAATGCGGTAAAGGAAACTTAATAAACTGTGTTCAAAAGTGGCACAATTAACTGCACAGAAACAAATAATGTTTATTTTAAAAATAACGAATCAAATGTTCTTTATACTTGTAACTCTTTTGGTTCATACACGTTAATAAAAAAGTCAGTTACTAAGGAATTAAGCTTAAAATGCTTAGAAACGTCAGCGCTTTTAGATAAATATACCTGATTGCTAGATGGCGCCGCATCTTCTTTATTTACAGTGGCAACTGAATTTAAATTGGCGCCACCTGTTGATGGCATATTTGTTTTGAAATTGGTTAACTGAATAACGACTTTCAAACGGAGATAAATTCATATGAAATCGAAGAAATATTGTTTATTCGCTACTTATATTAAACAAAAATGGACACAAACAATCAAGATTCTAAGTCTAATTTTTTCTCTGTGCCCATTTAATTTTATGCAGCCGCATTGCCCTCAGTCAACTGGGAAGCTCTCATTATCGAAATTATGCATGCCAGATTAATGGAGTGAGTGCCCAAATTATTTCGAGGCCCTTATTGTGCCACGTTATGCGGCAACAAAGTGGCCAAAGGGTTACAGCCAGCACCAGCACCCCGAAAGCACCAAAGGCTTGTTGTGACGCACAGCTCGATTCAATATTTTTGTTGACACTCGTTCGGGCGTTGTTTCGGCACTTGATATATGGTAATAACTGAAATGTACCACAGTATGTAGTGTGTATTGGCTCCTGACCTCGCCAGCATCCGCCCCGTTGGCTTTCGTCCACCATTTTTGTGGCGGCGAGCTATGTGCGTGAGTGTGTGTGCGCTGGCCAAAGCCAAACAAAGGAAACCGAAAGGACCCACGGACCAAAGTTGCTCCATTTCCGAACGTTTCGCGCTGAAATATTAGACCAGAAGCAGACAGTAGACGGCTACACAGACGCAAGGCGCCAGCTTATTGATTGGACGCCGCCGCCTCCGCTCCCCGAAAAGCGAAAGCCCGATGGCGTCGGATGCTGACAAAGAACTCGCAGCTCAGAACTCAGTGCGCGTCTGGCTGTGTGGAAGTTGGGTTGCTCGCTGCTCCGTTTCCAGAGCCCCAAAAAAAAAAACACAGTGGTGATGAAGTGACAGTGACGATTTGGGGAACACAAACCGGAAGGAAGTGTCGCAGCCATGCCCACCACCTGTGTCTTTCAGCTGGATCGCCTGAATCCAGTCTACAACAGTGGGGAATACATCAGCGGTCGCATTTTGTTGCGCACGGACAAGGTGAAGCGGGTCAATGGTGGGTTGAAAGTGCTCCCGAATCCATGTTCCACTGGGGACACTACATGTTCTGACATCCCAATCCCCAGCCGTGTATGTGACCCTCGAGGGCGAGGCCAAGGTTCAGTGGTCGATGAGCGGCAAGAGCGAGACGGCTAATTACTCGGGCCACCAGCAATATCTACACTCCCGCACCAATGTGTTCGACAACACCCTCTTCCGGGCTGGCGTCCACGTATATGTGCTCACCCTGAGGATTCCTCCGGACTGCCCCAGCACCTGCAAGGGTCCCTATGGCTACATAGCCTACACCATCTCGCTGACCATCGACAAGCCCTGGGGCTTCGACGAGGTCTTCCGAAAGCCCATCAATGTGGTGCAGACGCTGGACCTCAACTACAACACGGAGTTCGCAGTGAGTTACATCGTTTTATAGTGGGTGGCCAAATGCATACCCCAATTAGTTTGCGTAAATTAGTGCATTTCAAAGCCTTTATTAGAAAGAGGAAACAAACTTTGCTTTCACAACCTTCCGCATGTTCACTTGTCTAATGCTATTAAAAATCGAGCTTATTAAAAAAGCAGTTGAAATATAATAGCAATAGTAATAATAGTCTTATACGAAACAGACAAAAAGCTCACCGTTTTAGAAATAACTTAAGACGAATATCAGTTTGGTGTCAAGTCGTTCAACTAATCTTTCTTTTCCCACACACCAGTTGCCTGTGAAGGATGAAAACCTAAAGTATCTCTGCCATTGGCCCTGCGTCTCTGGTCCCATCTGCTCTACCTTGGTTTTGCCCGCCTCCGGATTCACGCCCCTGCAGGAAGTGCCCTTCCAATTGGAAGTGGACAACCAGTCGCCGCACTACGACATCATCGGCGTGGAGGTGTCCATCAAGCAGCACTTCGTCTTCCTGTCGCGGAAGCCCGTCAAGCGGAACTTCTACACAAAGACGCTGGTCAAGGAGCTGATCTCGGACCGCACTCTGCGCCTGTCCAAGCGGCAGTACGAGTCCAGCATCTGTGTGCCCATGGACACGCCCCGATCCACCCTCAATCCCAACTACATCGTCTTCCTGCACTACACACTGCAGGTGAAGCTGAAGACGGGCTACTTCCACTACGACACCGACCTGTCGGTGCCCATCATCGTGGGCACCACCTCCTTGCAGCACCTCCGGCACTCGGTCCACACCCAGCAGCCGGTGAGGAGGACGCCCACGCCAGAGAGACAGCGTCTGATCGAGCGGGTGACCCCCCGACCGCCAACGGTGGAGGAGGAATCTGGCGGGGAAGCGGACGCGGCCACCGAAGAGCCGCACCAGGCGATCGAGGACGATGAGCCGCCCTCGTACGACAGTTGCCGTGAGTTTTGTTCCCTACCTTGAAAGTAATTTGGTGACTTCAGCCGTATATACTTTTTGATATATACTTTTGTATATACTTTTGTATATACTTTTGTATATACTTTTGTATATACTTTTGTATATACTTTTGTATACTTTTTTAATAGAATAAACAAAAACACCTCTTGACGAGGTAATAACAACGTGACGATCGCACCTTTAACTCTAAGAAGATATCAGATTTTGTGACGAATATTATTTATTTTACCAAAACAATGTACTTTATTTTTATTTAATTAGTTATGTAATGAAGAAACAAGAAAGGAAGCAAACTTCGACAAGCCAAAGATTATAGACCTTTGCGATATTGCAAAAATTTAATATTCTTTAAAACATCTAAATTTCGAATCATATTTAAAAACATTTATGCTTCTATTATTTTCAGATCAATTATTTTAACGTTTTTATGGCAGCTATGATATTGCAAAATTCTGACTGAAATTAGTGTACCCTGTGCAATAAAAAAAAGTAAATAATAATCGACACAAAAATGATATCAGAAGTTTTTGGAGTTAATTATTACCTCGTCAAAACTGTTTGACATCAGACGTTTTTGTTTGTAAAAATTAAATATATACTGAAAAATGAATAAGCATTCGACTAAATTAATACACTTTTAAATGTTTCCATTCGGACCGCCTCATACAGATAGTTTGCCTACACAGGCATTTTTTATTTCAACGTGAGGAATTTTTACCTCGTTAAGAGGTGCTTTTGTTTGATATAATTAAGCTGGATTTCTTTTTTATTTCTAAAATATTGACTAACAAGAAAGGAAGCTAACTTCGGCAAGCCGAAGTTCATATACCCTCGCAGCTATTTGCAAAAACTAAATATTCTTGAAAACATTAAAATTTTGATTTACTTGTGCATATGTTAAAAACATTGAAGGTATGATAATTTGCAGCGCAATTATTCGATAGTTCGTTCCTATGGCAGCTATATGATATCGCTTTCCGATTTTAATACAATTAAAAGCGTAATTCTGAACTGTCAAATTATTAATTTTATTAAAATCGGAAAACGATATCATATAGTTGCCAAAAGAACTTTTGAACAATTGAGCTGCAAACCATCATAGCTTTAATGTTTTTAAGTATATACGCAAGTCAATCATAATTTAAATGTTTTTAAGAATATTTAATTTTTGAAACAGCCGCAAGGGTATATGAACATTGGCTTGCCTCCTTTCATGTTGAAAATTAACTTGACTTCTTATTTCCGTTATTGTTTTAAAACAGCTGGCATGTCTTATGTAAATTAATCATGTAGTCTAGTAAATTAAATATATCTCTATGAATTTCATTATGTCTTTTAAACAGCTGTAAAACACAAAATAAAAATGGCGCGTCAGGTTTTTTATACCCTTGCAGAGGGTATTATTCTTGATCAGCCTCACTAGCAGAGTCGATCTAGACATGGCCTTTTGTCCGTCCGTCTGTCCGTCCGTTTCTAAGTAAACTAGTCTCTCAGTTTTAAAGCTATCTGCATGAAACTCGAAACTCGAAACGAGCCGGATCTGACGACTATAGCATATAGCTCCCATAGGAACAATCAAAAAAATAAATAAAAGACATTATAACTTTGCAAATAGTAATGGTTAAATATTTCAGAATTACGTTTTTTAATTTTATCAAAATCGGACGACTATATCATATAGCTCCCATAAAAATAATAAAAATATATAAATAACTATCTAATAATTGAGTTGCAAATCATCATAGCTTCAATGTTTTTTAAGCATATACGCAAGTAAACATAATTTAAATGTTTTCAAAAATGTTTAATTCTTGCAATAGCTGCAATGTTATATGAACTTCGGCTTGCCGAACTTAGCTTCCTGTCTTGTTTTAAATTTCATAGTTCATATACCCTTGCAGCTATTGCAAAAATTAAATATTCTTGACGACATTAAAAATTATGTTAAAACGCATTGAAGCTATGATGATTTGCAGCTCAATTATTTGATACCGTTTTCCGATTTTAATAAAAATAAAAGAGTAATTATCAACTATCAAATAATTAAATAATCAAAAAGAATTTCTAAAAAAAATTACAAAATAAAAAAGTTAAATTTTTTAAATATTTTACTGTTTTTTACTCGACGGTTTATAATTATTATGAATAACAAAGTTCCAAAATTAAAAAGTCGGTTTAGGACTTTGGTATACAAATTGGTAATTTGCAACTAAAACAAAATTTCAGGTCAAACAGTAATCAGCATCACGAGGAGAGTCGATCTAGCCATGTCCGTCTGTCCGTCCGCCTGTCTGTTTTATGTTTTAAAGAATATTTAATTTTTGCAACAGCTGCAAGGTATTCGGCTTGCCAAAGTTGTCTTGCTTTCTTGTTTAATTTTTTTTTAGTTATTCGAGGTAAAGTAGTTGTTAATGTCTTATAGCTACCAAGGGAACATTCGGAAAATTACACAAAACAAGAAAGGAAGCAAACTTCGGCA